TATTATTACTAAACTAAATTTCAATTAATATTATGGTATTTATAGGTTATTTTCTAGTTTGTTGCATTCCTAGTACCATTTCACTCTTTTATCGGATGGGGTTTTTTTCGTTTTGTTGTCGATTCTACGCTTCCTACTACTACATAACAAATATTTATAAAAATCAAACTTTTTATCAGGAAAAACCAGCCAACTCGTTATTTAAATTACTGTAACATTAGTTTATTAACAATTATTTTTATATTAGTATTAAAGTTTATTATTGTTACTATATTACTGTATCACTTGGTGCTATTTTTATTTTTTTACAGAAACAACGTAGATGTTACGAAGTTGACCGTACTTTTTATAAGGAAAAACCAGCCAACTCGTTATTTAAATTACTGTAACATTAGTTTGTTAACAATTATTTTTATATTAGTATTAAAGTGCCCCTGCCACCTATTCTGACAATTTTTATAATCTTCAGCATGTTTATATTTATAAATATATTATAAACACAAGTGTTGGTCATATATTACGAATAAAATTGATTTTGTACGAAAAAAATGAGTTTGAAGTGTCATTTTTACGAAGGACCTTAGAAACAGAGGTCACTCAATGACGTCATTGGTGACCGACTTTCCCAAAATTCATCAAGCGCGAAATCAAAACAAACCAGACGGTAGGCCTTGTGGAGGAAGAATAGAGCATACTTTACTATACTATATTTGGCTGTTGTATGTTTTAAGCATTATGCCAGTTAATTGTGTTGTTGGTGGTTGCAGTAGGACACCAAATAAAGATGGGGTGACCTATTTTAGGTTTCCCAAGGATAGCAAAAGAAGACGTTGTTGGGTGAAATTTGTTAATTTCACAAGGCCAAATTTTCGTGGGCCGGGTAAGCACACACGAATTTGTAGTGCTCACTTCGGAAACGATCAATTCAATCAATCATGTCTAATCAAAACGACGATGGGCTTGCAATGCAAACTAGCTTTGAGAGATAATGCTGTGCCTAATATAAAAAATGACAGGCGAAGTCCAATGAAAAGGAATTCATCTATTATACGGCAAAGAAAACAAGTAAGTACCGGGGTTCAAAACAGCCCGCCGCTGACTAACCTTCAATCAATATGATTATGATTAGGCCTAGGGATTATTCATGCGTAACATTCGCATAGCCTAGGCCTAGCCTACTCGCTTTTTAGATACATCTTGATACAAAAATGTGTTAACACAGTATCAATAACTTGCAATAGGTCACATGTATTAAACTTTCAGCTATTGTATTAAAATATTTAAAAGATTTCCTCTATATCAATTATTTAGGTTGTTGAAGAAGTACTAAGGAAAAGTTTGGAGACAACCTGTACTACTACTACTTTGCCTAGCAACGAGAATGTGTCAACAGAGAATGCTGCATCTCTGTTGTTATCATTTGCTAATGATTATCAAAAGAGACATCAGGCAAGTAGTTTTATCAACATGGTTAATTAAATTATTATTTTCTATAGTTAGGCCCTATAAAAAATACTAATTATTACACTATCTAGACTAGGAAAGTGATGCGAGAGGGAGGCTGTTTAAATTTAATTTTATTCTGCTAACAATAACCCTTGGATTGGTACATTGATATTAAAAGTAAAATAAATGATTGGGATATTAAATACAAACAATATCTACTAGCTATTTACTGAAAAAATGAAAAAAAAATGTTGAAACATTTTTTTCCTAAAAAGAAAAAAAAAACAAAAAAAAAAAACCATTTTTATATATATTTTTTTGTTTATAAATGTAAATCATTCATTAAATTTGTATTTATGATGTCAAACCACATCCAAATGAGCAAATATTTTAATTATTATTTTGTCTTAAAAAGGATCACAAAAAGAATGAAGATCAATCAAGACAACCGTTTGTACAGACGAAACCGATAATGATCACCAGAGGTATATGATGTACAATCACATTTAGTCATTTACATTATCCATTCATTCATTCAATCATTCATTCATTACTTTTTTCATTATATAATTAGATTTTATGATATTGTTACTGGTATTTTCAGATACAAATTGATGTGCAGACAAAAGAAAAAATGTTGTTTTTGAAGCTCAGCATCAGAATCTTTTTATAAAATATAATTTTTTAAATTTTAATCAGAATCTCAGACTGATCCTGTAGTCATTAAGGATGTTGTTGGTGTACCATCATTGCCTAATTCACCCATAGCTACATCCACACCTTATGTTAGTGAAGGAGAATCAACCCCACTTTGTCAAAGTGATGGAGATACAACATTTAATCCAGATGACACATACCTTTCGTAAGTATGATAGTATATAACTGTGTTGTTAAATGACGAAAAAAATTTAAAAAAATGTTAATGCTACACCAATAAAATTCATAGACCTATTTGTAAATTTTCCATCAAGTTAATCTATTGGCTACAATTTATTTTATACTATTATTATTAAGGTTTGACAATGATGACAGCAGCTGTGCATCAAATAGACCTGCAAACGAAAAGAAATATATTGTTTTTGAAGCTCAGCTTCTGAGTCTTTTCACAAAATGTCAATCTTGCAACGCTGAGACAAAGGGAAAGATTGTACATAGGATTGGTACCTTTATTGTGATACGCCAGCAATGCAAAATCTGTGATTACACCAAAGAATGGAGCAGCCAATCTATGGTGAAAGATACGCCAGCAGGGAATATCCTGATGTCAGCTGCTCTACTATATTCTGGGTCCTGCGTGTCAAAATCCTTGCGAATGTTAAAATTCCTTAACTTGGTATCAATTTCCGAAAGAACATTTTATAGACATCAAGACATTTTCTTACATCCATGTATCACCACTGTATGGCACAATGAAAGGGAAAAGTCTTTAGAAGCTGTTAAATGCTCTAAATCCGTGGTGTTAGGAGGTGATGGAAGAGCCGACAGCCCCGGCCATACTGCTAAGTTTGGCTCTTACTGTCTGATGGAGCTAAATAAACACAGAGTTATTGACATTCAACTTGTTCAAGTAAGAACTGTTTAGATGATTTTAATATTTCAAAAACTACAAAAATTACATTAGTTATATATTAACTTTATAGTACAGTACAGTATAAAAATATAGTGTGTCAAAAACAGTGATACAGGCCTAATATTCAAACTTAACTGTACACACTTCTTTCTACCATCAGAAAAATACAGTAGGAGGAAGTTACCACATGGAATTAGCAGGACTCAAGCTTGGTATCAATGCCTTAAAGTCACAAAACATCCCCATTAATGTCCTTGTCACTGACAGACACATTCAAGTGGCCAAATGGATACGTGAAAATATGAAAAACACCAAACATTATTATGATGTTTGGCATGTTGCTAAAGGTAAATTACTGGTTATTAAACAGGTAATTAAACAAACACTTAATATTATTGAAAAAGTATTTAATTAATTTTTTTTTAAACATTACTTAGGTATAAGAAAGAAGGTTCAAGCACTTTCAAAAAAATCAGACTGTGCAATTGTAGGCGAATGGGCAAAAAGCATCAACAACCACATCTACTGGACAGCCATGTCAACTCCCAGTGGTAATGGTAAAGAAATGGTTGCCAAGTTCCAAAGTCTGACCAACCATATGCAAAATATACATTCGGGCCATTCGGAAATATTTCCAAGATGTCTGCACCCTCCATTAGAAGATAACAGAAAAAAAAAATGGCTGAAACCGGGTACAGAAAAATTTTCCATATTTAGTTAAATTTCAACCAATATTTACTTACAGTAATCACACTAAACACATGCATGCAGACTTAAATAAATAAATGTACATTTTTTCAGGATCAAAGGCATGTGAAATGTTAAGTGACATCCTTGACAAACCGCGCCTTCAAAATGATATTAGCATGTTAAGTCCGCTTGGACAAACTTCGTCAGTAGAGGGTTTCCATGGAACCATTATACATTTCGCACCAAAAATGTTGGCATATTCCTATAATGGAATGTTGAGCAGGTAGGTAATACAGTATATAATTATTATATAATTTAGCTGGGGCTTAGGGCACATAGAAAAAAAAATTGGTTAGATTATCACATCAGTCCATGTCATAAATTTAGGAAATATTAATGCAGGAATGAAAAAAAAAATTTTTTTTTGCTGTATCATGTATTGTTACAATTTAAAACATCAATGCAATTTATAATGACTGGGAAATACATTTACAGGTACTTAAAAAAAAACAATAAAATTAAAACAGTTTTTATTACAATATTACTGCCAAATAAAAGCAGTCACTCCCTCATCAATAAAAAAAAAAAAACAGTATTCTATTGTTCTGGTTTAGAAAATTAAAAAAAATAAAATAAATAAAAAAACTGCCTGGCCTCATCACTTTTATTTTTTTTTTAAAGAGCGAAAATCGAATAATTTTTTTCCATGTATGTGCCCTTATTGTTAGTGTTATGGAAAAGTACACCCATCTGACTATACCGAGGCCTAAATGTTTTTTGGCTTATGATGTATTTTGTTCTATAAATAATAATTATTTTAAGGTTTGTATGTAATAGTAGTTTAGGAATTACAATCAAATAAACTGTAGGCCTACCAACAAATTTGCAGGTTGATGTTGGCTGCGCTCCACTACAATGAGAACGCTGGTAGGATAACTGTCTCTTATACACATCTAGATGTGTATAAGAGACAGGTATATAACTGTGTTGTTAAATGACTGAAAAAATTTTTAAAAATGTTAATGCTACACCAATAAAATTCATAGACCTATTTGTAAACTTTTTGATAGTTAATCTATTGGCTACAATTTATTTTATACTATTATTATTAAGGTTTGACAATGATGACAGCAGCTGTGCATCAAATAGACCTGCAAACGAAAAGAAATATATTGTTTTTGAAGCTCAGCTTCTGAGTCTTTTCACAAAATGTCAATCTTGCAACGCTGAGACAAAGGGAAAGATTGTACATAGGATTGGTACATTTATTGTGATACGCCAGCAATGCAAAATCTGTGATTACACCAAAGAATGGAGCAGCCAATCTATGGTGAAAGATACGCCAGCAGGGAATATCCTGATGTCAGCTGCTCTACTATATTCTGGGTCCTGCGTGTCAAAATCCTTGCGAATGTTAAAATTCCTAAATGAAAGCAGTCTTATCAACTGAAGCCAGTTTTCACCCGACTTGTTGCCGCTACTCATGTCAATATTCAAACCAAACGGCTCTTTTCAGAGCCACCATTTAAACAAAAGAGAGATAGCATTTTGTCATTAAAAAAATAATTTTGTTTTTAGATAAATATTTATTTATTTATTTTTATTTTTTTATTTTAGCATTTATAATTCCTACAGACAGTATTGTATACATATCTATCTATTACGTTTCAGTATTTCTAGGACCCTGGATATACACGTGACCATTTTAATCTGTAATATTGAAACGCGTACTCATAACACGCGCGAACCATGTCTATCACTAAAGAAATAAGCAATGCATGACACGAGGGGTTTCGTCTACTACTACCAGTCAAAGAGTATACTGTTTGCTACAAATACAGTTAGCTCGGCCTATAGTTTATAGTAGTAGTAGTAGTACTAGGCCTAGAGGACATCGTATTTTTGAGTGAAACGTTTCAGAGTACTACAGGTGACGCGACGTTAACGTAAAACTTACATGTAAACATTGTTGAACTTGCTACACGAACTATTTATGAAGAATAATTATTTTAATTACGTACAGAAAGAAGATAGGATTTTGCCCATGCACAGTAAGTAACGACACAAGAATACTACTGAAATGTTTTTCGACTGTAAGTTTATTTAAAATGATTGTACAGTATGTATATCGAGATGTAAGTGCACATGGAGAAGTGTAGTAGGCATGTCCATATAACATATTAGAATTATTATTAAATACAACAGTTGTAAGGTAACACGTTATATAAACAAGTTACAAACAACGATATTTCAATAATTAATAAACAATCCATGAACTACATTAAAGAATGAGTGAATGACACTGTATGTAGGCTGGGCAGGCCTATGAGTTAGTAGAGAATGCATCCCGCTACCTTTTAGTTTAGTATTTACTTGCGAAAAGGATGGCCTTTTCAGTTTTCATTAAGTAGGCCTAAACTAGGCCCCTAATTAAAATATTTAATAATCATACAAGATTTAAATTTCCTCTAATTTTCCAAGTTTAAAGCCTGTATATCCCTCATCTTGAGGGCTAGGAAAATGTTGTCGAATAGCTGTAACGCCACAAGCTGGCAAAATCACACGATTTTCTCTTCCTAAAAATCCCCAGCAGCTCCGCACAAGATTTCTGTAGGCGATGTATCTATACTTCCTGTTAAAAAGCACAACATAACATAAGATGAATTATAACAAAAGTTATTTTTAAACTTAAAGAACATCCATAACACAGTATTATTGTATGCAATGTTTATCCTGCTACAGACAGTGCTGTATATTATGAAGATTTGTATATTGTGAAGATTAATATTCGGACTAATATAGTCTTACTATCTATTCATCAGTGATTCATTCTGTCTCACACGGTACTATTTAAAGAAAACTTAAAATGTAGATTAAGGAGTAAATTTCCAAGGCTGTACTGCAAAGGGATGATTCAAATATTATACTCGCTCCTCCTTAGAATGTGGAACCACAAGAAATATATCTGAAGTAGTACAATTAAGAAATAAAACAGCACTTTATTCAACAACACATTATCATCGCTGAATCAGTACATATACTAAAAATACTATTCATTATTAATTAATAATTTTTACCAATGTCATACTAAATTTGACTAACACACTGGTCTCTCAATTGAGGTAAAAAGGCATAATTTTGTTAGTGTTTGTAAACACTAATATTATAAACAGGCTACTGCCAGACAAGGACAAAACGATATTCGAAAAGACCAACAACACAGCAGCAATTCAGGCACAACCTGGTTGCCCATTATCAAACAGGACTTGGCCTAGAGGAGGACCGTAAGGGCCTAGCTAGTAGCCTTGCCTAGAAAAATTTAGTGGCGGTGGTAGCTGGCTTATGTGCTTTCAATCTGCGTTCAGATGTATCAACAAAACTGTCTATTATTACAGACAGGGCCTAGCCAGGCCAACCATATGTTATTTTCAAATAATAATTACTATAAATCAATATTTTTTTGGTAGGTAGACACCTCACAAGGCTAGGCCTAGGCCTAGTTTATCGCTATTCTATGTCGCTTACCAGTGCATATTCAAAAGTCGGTTTGGCTCTTCGATTCGTGATCATCATCTTCTTCTCTGTTTTGTTCTTGTTCATAACAAGGCTCATATAAATATGGACCACAGCCAAGGTCAGGGTCTCCCTCTTCCGATGAGGAAGAAGTGAAATCGTCTCCATTGTCCATCATCGTTGGTACTGTATTTTCATTCGCGCTGGTTTGTTTTGATTTCGCGCTTGATGAATTTTGGGAAAGTCGGTCACCAATGACGTCATTGAGTGACCTCTGTTTCTAAGGTCCTTCGTAAAAATGACACTTCAAACTCATTTTTTTCGTACAAAATCAATTTTATTCGTAATATATGACCAACACTTGTGTTTATAATATATTTATAAATATAAACACGCTGAAGATTATAAAAATTGTCAGAATAGGTGGCAGGGGCACTTTAATGTTGCCTAATTAATTGTAATGCCTTATTGTAGAATATATATATGTTTAGTGGGTTTGCGAAGTTGTTTTGTAATGTTTTTTCTCCCCTTTTGTTAAACTTCAATTTTGAATGAGAGATTGCAATAAAGTTCTTCGTATTTCATACTTCGTATTTGACTGTGTCCCTTTTCTTTCTCAGAAGAGACCTATCAACAGAGCAGAGGGAGGACACGAATGATCACACATATATAATGACTTCATACAACATAAAAAATAAAAAAAACAGGCGGGGCTGACGACTTTTATACTGTTTGAGGAAAGAGAAAAATAAACCAATAATAACCCAGATGTTAAAAATAACCAATGAACTTACCCCTGACATTCAACTGAGCTGTTGACAATATTAGTCCAAACTCATTCTCAGCTTTGCACTGGAACATGGCGTCATCATCTTCCTGGAGGTCCATGACTGTGAGGGTTTTGAGACCATTACCTATCACATACTTAGCGGTTCCTATGACCTCAACGCCATTACGATACCATGTGTATGTGATGGTTTCGGTGGATTCCGCTTCACAATTCCAGGTTACCTCGCCATTGATATCGCCATTCTGGTCCTCGATCTCATTTACCCACTCTGGCCGAGCTGTGCAAGAGAAAAGTGTTAGTATTTACTTTATAAATATAACAACAAAATATGTTAGCTAAATATAAAAGGCCAAAAAAAAAAATTTGTTTGTGCTTTGGAAAAATAAATAAAATGTGTACGGTCGGTAGAAAATACACACAAATAATACAACAATTTGAATTTGCATCGCGTACCATCCAGCAAAATAGGCTAGCATTGGCCCCCTAGCCTCGCCAAGGCTATTCCAGCCTTAATTTCTCATAAAAAAATATTGTTCGGTGTCAACAAAGAAAATGCAGACCCTTTTAATTTCATAAAATTTGGGTCAGTCAGCCGTGGCCAACATAATATTTTTATTTTTTTTGGCTTAACAAAGAATGTGAATGAAGTGATAAATTTACATTTAACAACAACACGGCCTTCATTACTGAGACCGCTCTGTACGGTATTCGAAGCTGAACAGCGGTACGTTCCAGCATCTGTTATCTGTATATCTGGTATGACAAGCTCTTGGCTACGTTCATTCAGGTAGGAACCCTCAGGAAGACTTAGTCCATTTGTTCGTGTCCATGATAATGTAGGAGCAGGCCTAGAAATGAAGAGAATATGGGATGATGTCTATTGTAGATTAATGATGATGATAGTAAATGTAATTCAATTACATTTTCATCATCATTTTCCCTACTTTAGTACATATTAATTGTTGTTTAATAATCTTAGAATTAAGTTCTTGGGTTCAGTAGCATCCTGAGTATGACCATTTTGCAACTTTATCACTTTTGTCAGCATACTAGCCAACAATAATACTCCATGGATGTTCACAATGATTCAACTTTTGGCTTTGTGTATACAGTATGGCGTGCTTGTTACAGGCCCTAAATAAAATGTTAAGGTTTCTTGTTCAGAAAACTCTGTACTGTAATTAGATGAATATGCATGCCTATGAATGATGAGGTGGGGATGACTTATTCATTATATAGGCCTACTTAAAATACTTTTTTGATAAATTATAGTCTAGTCCTAGGCCTATAGACTGGAAAAGAGGCCCTATACTGTAGATAGTCTAGCTAGTTCTAGTGTCTAATAATTAATAGTAATTATTATAAGTTAATCGTGACGTCATCACTGCAACTCCCAATGTTATTTGCCTATTCCCCACTGTCCACTAATTTTTCAATAGTGGACGCTTGGCTTGATTTTTTTTAGGTTCGTGTGCAAAAAAAAATTTCCGAATTGTAATTGAAAATACTTTCGTAAAACAAGGTTACTTATAACCTGAAGAAAGTTAGTGACAGTGACTGTATTCTCTCTCGAATGCTTTGAAAAATATATTTCTTTGACGAATGTGAAAAATTACATACAAGTTTTTCTAACACAATACAAGTTACAAAATAGCCTAGGCCTATAGTTATTCATCGTATCCGTACAGTACTGCTGATGTGTAGTTAACTTATAAAAAAGGGTGATGAACGTTTGTTGGAAATCACCTCTACAGTAGTTTTAATTGTGTACAAAATTTCCTGCACGTCCGTTCAAAACTGGCGACGCTGGATGCTTTTGAAGAAGTTTTAACATAAACTAGAACAGCAATGAGGCTCTGGGTCAGCGCCATGATCACGGACCAAAAATATCTGTAATTCAAGAGAACTTAATACAAAAACTCACAAAAAAAAAATCAAGCTTATATTTGAATTTAAAAAAAGAACAAAAATAATTAATCAAACAGTAAAGGTAATGGAAAGACATTTATTTATTTTTAATGAGGATCACCCATTCAGCTCTCCATTGCTGAAGAGCTGATATCAAGGGCCCTCATAAGATAAATACAAAATACAATAAAATGGTACCGTAATGGATTTTAAAACATGACAAGCGAAATCACAACAGTAGAAACTTAAAAAATATAAAAAATAAATATAAGATAAAATCATCTAAATAACAAGCAAAAATGAGTCTCTAACTTTGATAAAACTTTGTAAAAATAGCTGCCTTAAGTCCTTCCCCCCACCTCTCCCCGGACCAGGACCTAGTGGGGTCTTAGCCGGGGTTGTAATTTCCGAAACGGTTACGTGCATTTGAAAGTCCCGGCCACCTCCCGGCAATGCATGGCATTGTTTTACGTACATCCCTGGCTAATTCCCCACCACCTACCGCCAGGAAATATTTCGTAGTCCCGGTAAAATTCCCCGCTAATAAATGATAGATAATAAGGCCTACTTGAAGGTCTAGCCTATTTCTAAATCGGAGAAGCATGTGAGAGCTAGCCAGGAGCAGCTAAAGAGATGAGCCAAGAAGCATTACCTCCGTTTTGTCAAGATGGAGTGTGAGCACAGCCATTTGCTGACAGCTTCCATGTCATGTGTTAGTTTGTTGGTAATTTGATCTGTGTTAACTTGCGTTAATATAAAGGGTGGTGTCATCTGCATAGATCCGTCATACAGTGCTTTGTGATAGTGGGAAGATCATTTATAGAAATAGTGAAAAGTAGGGGAATACAACAAGGGTACTTGGTGATCGGTAGAGAGTAGCGATTCTTAAAAAACTGAATTTTTATATGTATTATCAATCAATATTGCTTCGAAAGGATTTCGGGAGTTTTCAACCGAATTGATTTCTCTAAATGTTAATGTCTTTTTAACATAGAGCCACAAAAATGTTATGTGAGGGTTGCACATAAAGCTGAGTGACCAGAACCTACAGTAGTTCAAATCATGATGTCCTAGTCAGGTCTTGAACCAGGGTGGGTGTACACCGCAAGAGGCAAGAACAATACCGCTAAGTAACGGCACAAGTGGGGGTCCAGAGGGAGTATGAAAGGCAATTTCTACATGACATTGAAAAAGCATTTTTACAATCTGAGAGTGCCATTTCCAGTCAACCAGTATTGCCTATTCTTAAGTTGCTTGAATCATATTGGTTCACGGAGGAGCGTGGGCAGTTCCTGATAGTTTACGAGATGCAGTTAACTGTGGGATTCAAAGAGAAGTACGAAAAGGTTATAAAGTTCTCCTGGAAAAAGATTCTGCATTAGATGCCATAGAAGAAGTTGTTCGAGCCTTGGAGGATGATCCATGTTTTAATGCAGGTATGAAAGGCAGTAATTATCATAATCTGATATTCAAGTGTATTTCAACTCAAATATGAGCTACTATACTGTATATACTGTACTGTTAATAAAATTTTATGGGACACATGTTTATTCTGCCTAATTCTATACACATTTCAATCTTCTCTGATATTAGAGCAGGTGCGGTAGTCTGTTCTTACATGGGCCGCCATTAATTTTCTTATGTCACTATTAATTCCTGTCCAGACTGTAAAATTTTATTTCACAAGAACATGTGACATTTCTAAATGTGGTCATGATGACACCTTATAAAATGACAATATATAGGCACATCATGACTATATGGGCATACAACAGTATTTTTATTCATGTAGTCCTAGCTTCTATTTTTTCAAAGTTCATCACTGCATGTTGTTGATCCAGGAATTCAAAATAGAGAGAGGGCTCAGAGGGGGGCTTTCAAATATAGAGGGTGTAGTCCACCTCAGCCCCACCATGGTTTGGGAAAATTTATGATTTTGGCACCTCTAGATGGCACTCTCAGGCGAAAATTTAATCAAAATTTTCCTTTTTTCTCCATTTAAAAAAAATAATTTTGAAAAATTAAAAGGGGTGGTGTAGCTGTGCCTGCTCGATCCTCCTTGAATCTGCTACTGCAAATCATCACTAAACCTTTAGCCAAGTACACTAAAGTATTAAGTTTATGTCTGAAGATTTACTACAATTATTTACGCTCAAATTGCTTTTTTTGTTCCAAGTCTTATTTTTGTTTACAGTAACTTTGCAGTCTCACTGTAAATTATGTACTTATATTGTATTCTAAAATTCAGGTTTCCTTCCAATTAAAAACCACTTTTGGGAACAGGTTTCCTTGGTCTTAACAACTTTGGTCTCTATCTTTATTATTAGAATAATAAAGATAATAGACATCTGTTAATTTGGGACCACAGGAAATTGGTGTTTAATTGGAGGTGGTCTTGTAAGGGCCTTATATAGAAGAGGGAGACCTGTATTTTTTAATAAGTAAATAATAGCTAATAAGTAGTATTATATATTTGCAGGAACTGGTTCTGTTTTGACTGTTAATGGCTGTCTCTTATACACATCTAGATGTGTATAAGAGACAGATTTAGGCCTACTTAAAATACTTTTTT